ACAATGCCACATGCCTAAATCATATAATACCTTCTGACAATCAAACCAACGGGTTCTCCCAAATGTTGGGGTCACACCCAATTATTCATACATTAACTAGAAGGTTCATGTCCTGGACAAATTTATGAATCAAAAACGAAATGTGTGGGTATAATTTAAAGGTTTCTTTTACAACATATTGCAAGTAAAGCAAGTGATTAACATCAGCTTCATGTATTGATCGACTTTCCTTTACTAATAACATCTACGTATTTTTGCTATGATCTTTGAGATTTTTTAAGAAATTCTGTCATTGTACATTATAATGTGGTTGATAATTTATCCGTCCCCACAACAAACAAGTCTGGTACACAGCGCCTATAAGATTCAGTATAGGAGAAATTAATAAGACAACCAATAGCCACGTGAATGAAATGGACTGAATGACATACCAATAAGGACATGCATGTGCTGAATGTACGTAAGGGTCACCCCTTTGGGACTAAGTAGCTTAGTACAATTATTGCATGCAAGTGTTGACACCAATGAGCTTTGCTATAAACATAGACCACGGAGCCAAAGGGGGCAGGGCGTCTGCTGCCCCCTCACCCCACCCCATATATAATCTTTGAATGTATGTATGTATATATAATACATGTTTGAGTATTAGTATATAAAAATTGTTTATTATTAATAGGAAATGAATTAGTTTAGTTGGTAGAGCATGTGATTAGTTATAATGATGAAAGTCAGGGGTTTGAACCCTTTGGTTGTTAATATATTTTACAATTTTTTGGCTTCATTAAGTTTCATATTTTTTTATGAATATTTTTATAAAGTTTCGATGTGCTTTATTTTTCGCCCATATCCAATTATATTTCTTAGGTAATTTATTTATTTATTTTTTAAACATCTCTTTTATTTTAATGTTTCACTTTTACTAAAAAAAAATTCTGAATCCGATCCGTCCCTATTTTGCCCCCCCCCCCCCCCCCACCACCTAAACATAATTCCTGACTGCGTCCCTCGCTATAAAGATATTATTTGATTTATTTCACATACATTATCATGTAATTAACTTCATTCAATAGATATTTATTACCCCAACAAAATTTACAATAATTGTACGAAAGAGTTCTATAATAGAGACGCATCATGATATCAATCATCCAAGTTGCTAGTGATATAAGAAAAATATATTACTGAACTTTCATGCTCTATCTTTAATTTTTATGTATTTTAACACTTAAGTTTTTTATGCATATTTTTTTAGAACTCAAATGATGAAAATAATTTATCACTTTTTGCCACATCAAAGAGAAAGTAATGAAGTAGAAAATGAAGATATAGTAAAACTCGTGATATAAATATATTAATTTTGAAAAATACTACATGATGAATGAAGTTTCAATTTCTACTTTCAATTTTTACCCTAATTAAAGCCTAAACTCTTGATGTAGATACTTTTTTTGAAACTCATATGATGAAAATGGTTTGTCATTACTTGCCAAATTAGGGAGTAATAGAAATTAAGGGACCGTTTACTTCAATTCTCTGTTTTTGCTTTTCCAGTTTTCTATTTCTTCAGTTTTTCAATTTTCATTCTCCATTCCTCCAATTTTCTAATTTCATTTTACAAATTCAACTTTAAGATAAAAATAAATTCAATAGAGTAATACTAAATGTGTAAAATGTAACAAAAGTCAATAAAAACATATTACTAAATAAATTATAACTACCGGGTTGGACTTCCATTTGGAAGATTGTAAGTTTGAGTCTCAGTGGAGGCGTTATTGCCTTATTGGTTCTTTGTGTTTCAGTAGGTTGAGAAAGTATATGAACAGATACTACAATGTAATAGAGCCAGTGACACTCAAAAAAAAATAAATTATAACTATTTCATTCATGATAGAGCTTAGTTTGATTACGAACAAAATACGCAAAGCCTCGTTGATTACAATCTCTCATATAGTTTTTTTACATTTCTACAACAAACATCATGTTGATGATGATGATGCCATTGATTGCAATCTCTCATATAATTTTTGTACATTTCTACAACAAACATCATGTTGATGATGATGGTGGTGGTGGTGGTGGCGGCGGCAGTGGATGATGATGGTGATGGTGATGGTGATGATGATGATGATAATTGTAACGGTAACAGGAAAGACAATGACATGATAATGACAATGACATGACAACGACAACGACAACGATAATAATAATAATAATAATAATAATAATAATAATAATAATAATAATAATAATAATAATAATAATAATAATAATAATAATAATAATAATAATTAAAAAAAAAAAAAAAAAAGAAGAAGCTAGCTTTGAGGTGAGAACCGCAAACAAGACAGAAAGAGGGGGCGTCTGGTTGTTGTGCACTGTAGGGTTCACGCGTGTCTCTCCATTTCTCCATTTGGAGAATTTGTTTATAAATTCTCTAAAATCGTTAAAGAAAAGTAGAGAAGGGAAATGGAATAGGAACTTGGAGGATTAAATTTAGTAAACAAATTTTCTATTTTTCATTTTTCTACCTTTCAAATTTTTTGTTTTTTTTTTTCAGAAAATTCTCAATTTTTCTACTTTGATAAACAACCACTTAAGAGTCCATGTAGTGAAACTTATGAATTTTTCATTTTCAAAAAGTAATATAATATTATATGTACTCTCACCATTTTTTTTAGCAGGTGTGACATATTTTGATTGATCCAAAAGAAGTTAATTGTGTGTTAAAATTTTATTCTTTTTTTTACCCAATAAAATTTGAACATATGATGAGAATTATAGTCCAGAGTATACCTATCAGTTTCTATGTTCAAAACATAAATGCAGTAGTTATTCAAAAAAAAAAAAAAAAAAAAAAACATAATGTAGTAGTTTTAAGTTTTAATTATTACACATACTCTAAATTCCTACTCCATTACTTTTACTTCCTGACATGATAAACTATGATAAAATATTTTCATCATTTTGGTTTACATCAAAAGTATGAGTGTGGGAATAAAAGTTTAGGGTAGAGTTTTGGAGTTGATGGGTAATACACACAAGAACTACCTATAGGGATCACCCGATCGATCCGCTCAGAACCATCTGGTCAGTCTGCCAAAGTCATCGACCAAACATAATCAAATCACTTGTGACTAATCGTACCATTCGAATTGAAATATCTCGTGATGGGTGTAGATGTTCTACGATTACCCGTGAGATCGCCCAACGGAGAGCCACCCGGTCGGCCTATGATGCGACCCACTTTGTAAGTTTGAAGGTTTAGCTTATACTACAAGTAAAGGAAACCCACTTGCGCCTACGGAGAGGTAGGTGACATCTTGCAAGAATGATGGCTCTGTTGTTTCGAACCATCAACCTACGCGTAGCTGCAGGACGACCGTTTGACCAAGCCAACGAGATCGCGCCACGTCAAGCCACTTGCTGCAGAGCATTAAATGCTTAGCCGACCTACTTAGTATAAATAGGAGTGTCCTCCCCTCACTTGTCATATTCACGTTCTGCAATATCACACCACTTGTGATACACTCTACATTGTAACCAAAGTCACTTGTAATCACCTTTAACTTGTAATACAGCATAGCCTTAGTCGATTTGGTCGTCACCCGTTACACAGTTGGCCGATCGAGGAATTGTAATTTCATAGAATTGTAATTCTTCCCAACCAAACTCAAGAATTTTCTACTTCTTAAATTAAATGGGAAAAGAATTGCAATTCCTCCCTACCAAACATGCCATCACAAGTGACCCCAACCGCCATATTATTATATTTGCAATTCACTTACAATTTTTCTATATTTACGTAACTTCAACTTATTTTAAATAATAATAATAATAATAATAATAATAATAATAATAATAAATATGTAAAAGAAAAAGAAAAAAAAATAGGTCCACTGGTTACAAGGTGAAATTTACCTAGTGCACACATTCAAATAGTCGCTACGAATTTTTATTGTTACCCAAAAAATAAGCGAACCTACTATCTTAACTTGCCTTTGTTGCTCTGCAAGCATTATCTAATGAGTTCTACTATATGTACTCCCAAATCTTACTCCCTCAATTTTACTCCTTGATGTGGCGGGCTATGATAAGCTATTTTTTTTCATGTGGGTCTTAATACAAGTGTCTATATTAAGGTTTTATGTCGGGGAGTAAAACCTGCGAGTAGAAAATAGGGTACACATATCATTTCCTTATCTAACAAGACGACGACTACTACTACTACATATTATTATTATTATTATTATTATTATTATTATTATTATTATTATTATATTGGAAAATGTTTTTTCCTCACCTAAGAGAATTCATAGTAGTATTAGTTTTTTGGTGATTTTTATCCATCCATGTAGGAAAGAGAGTGAGGAGAGAGAAAGCAAAGAAAACCAAAAAAAATAACTCACAAGTGATCAGACAAAAAATAAATATATTTAAACATAGAACATTTACGCGCCGGCTAAGCACGGAATAGGAACACGAAACTGTGATGTTATCTCTTCATTTCTGTGTCTTTGTTCTAGCATCAATAATGGGGTCTACAAAAATACAATATTTGAAGGAGTTAAAATTACAAAAAAAAAAAAAAAAAAAAAAAAAAAAAAAAAAAAAACTTCTCACTACACTAGTTAAAAACCCACCCTTGTTTTTTTGATTTGCAAAATTTAAATAAAAAGTACTGATGTGCATGTTCTAAAGTTTTCCCTCTTGAATTACCTCGGGGTGGGTAGCCTACAGACAGATTGATGGATGTGATTCATCAGTATTTTATTTTATTTTATTTATTTATTGTGTGACGAACAAATCAACAAAATGCCGACAAAAATATATTCATCACAAATCTGTTGTTAATGTTGATAGTTGTTGTGACTTTGGTTTGAAAGGTGAATTCTGGATTAGAAAGACAACAATGTCTTAGGCAGCTAGTATGTCTACTGTGTTGATGTGGCTGGGCTATGAACGTAAGAAAGGAAGTTGATATCTTTGTCGTGTTCGTGAACACTATTTTAAAAGCATTTACGATTAGGGCATCGCATGCTCTCGACAGGACACATAGATGAACATGACTGAACTTGTATAAACTCAGGCAAAATGTATGCGCAGGTGGAAGGCTTTCTTCGTGTCTGTAGAGTGTCTGTAGAGTGAAGGGGAAAATTATGACGGAGTGCAAAATGGAAGGCTTTCTTCGTGTCGGGGAAAATGCTGACCACACCACAACGCATGTGCGAATCGAGCCCGCCAAGCGGTAGCAACGCGTATGGGTTTTCCTTATTTCCTCTCCATAACACTTCAAGCCTTCTAATATAAACTAGCGTATAAAAAGGTGGAAAAGATGAGTTAGCCAAGCAACGTGGGACAACTAAATAAAGACAAAACACAATAAATGCCTTTGCCTTTTAAATGTTTCCCAACAATTGTGACCCATTTTACATGATTTGTCCACTGAATTTTTCATAGATAATTTTGTACTCCGTATTTGTTTTAGTGAATTCCCCATTTATATGGACACTATAATTTATTATTATAGTTAGTGATTTTAGTGTATGCATCTGCAATTATATAAAAACCAATAGCTTAGCTTCTAAGATAAATCATCCACTCTCATAGTTTGCAAAAAAAAACAAAAAAACTTTTTCACCATGCAAAGCTGATCTTAACTGATCATCTTAAAATTTTAAATCTGTGAGCTAATGGAGTGACTAATGATTTACCTCTTCTTGACCCGTAAGCTAAAAATTGTGCCATGTGCGATTATGGGCAAGACTTTGGCACGGCGTCAACTCCATTTGATCAATTCCAATTAAGCCACTTGTCTGAGTTCTGTCAATACCCGTCAACATGCATGTAAAAGAAAACAAAAAACATTATTTATTGAAGTAGCCGGAACCATGAAAATTAGCAAGAATATGATTGGTTTAGTGTCATACCATAGACCATGCATTCTGTATATCTATATATATATTGGGATTGAATAGAGGGAGAGAAAGAGAGAATGGATTTCCAGAGCATTATAATAGCAGTACTGTTTGCCTGGACTTTGGTCCAAGGCCTGTGTTTACTAGCAAAAATAAGTAGTAGTAAGAGTGTCGGCAAAAGGCTTCCACCAGGGCCAGTTCCGTTGCCGGTCATCGGAAACCTTCACTTTCTGGGAGAGCAACCCCACAAATCCCTAGCCCGGCTAGCCCAAAAATATGGTCCTGTTATGAATCTAAAACTGGGCATGCTAAACACAGTGGTCATTTCCTCATCCGCCATGGCCCAACAAGCTCTGCAGAAGCAAGACTTAGCCTTCTCTACCCACCGCTCAATCCCTAATGCTCTGCTAGCCAACAACCATTCCCAATTCTCTGTTACTTTACTCCCTGTTGCCTCCAAGTGGAGAGCCCTTCGTAAGATCATGAATTCCAACATCTTTTCCGGCAACAGGCTCAACACCAACCAGCAGCTGAGAGCTAAAAAGATCCAGGAGCTTATTATCTACTGCCAAAAGAGCAGCCAGGTAGGGGAAGCGGTGGATATTGGGCGTGCAATTTTCAGGACTACCCTCAATTTGCTGTCCAACACCATTTTCTCTAAAGATTTAACCGACCCTTATTCGGATTCCGGTAAAGAGTTCAAGGATTTGGTGTGGAATATGATGGTGGAAGCTGGAAAGCCCAACCTGGTTGACTACTTTCCCTTTCTTGAAAAGTTTGATCCCCAGGGTATCCGGCGTCGCCTGACAGGCCATTTCACTAAGGCACTCGACCTTTTTCAAGATTTGATTGATGAACGGCTGGAGGAGAGGAAGGTGAAAGGAAACAAAAATGATGATGCATTAGATTCACTTCTCAATGTCAGCCAAGAAAGGCCTGAGGAGATTGATAGGACTCACATTCAGCACATGTTGTTGGTATATGTTAATGTTACTCCCCTTCAATTCACATTATTGGTTCGGGTATCTTTAATATTGAATCTTATCGCCCTACATGTTAACAGGATTTATTTGCTGCGGGGACTGATACATCATCGAGCACAATAGAGTGGGCAATGGCGGAACTTCTTACGAACCCGGAGATCATGGCAAAAGCACAAGCAGAGCTTGCAGATGTTATTGGTAAAGGCAAGCCAATACATGAAGCTGACGTTACTCGTCTGCCTTACTTGCAATGCATCCTGAAAGAAACCTTTAGAATGCACCCACCGGTTCCGTTCTTGATTCCGCGTAAAGTTGAACACGAAGTCAACCTATGTGGATACACTATTCCAAAGGACTCGCAGATTCTAGTTAATGTGTGGGCAATTGGGCGTGACCCCAACATTTGGGAGAAGCCATTGGTTTTCAAACCTGAGAGATTTCAAAATTTAGAAATGGACTTTAGGGGACAAGATTTTGAGCTCATTCCATTCGGTGGAGGCAGAAGAATTTGTCCCGGATTGCCACTGGCAATGAAAACAGTCCCTGTAATGTTGGGGTCGTTGTTGAACTCATTCCAATGGAAGCTTGATGGCAACATTGCACCCAAAGATTTGGACATGAAGGAGAAGTTTGGCATTACAATTGCTAAAGATTGTCCTCTTAAGGCCATCCCTATTCCCATTTAACATAGTGCCACTCTAGTTTGTGTTACGTACGTTCTGCAGCAGTAGTACGTATGTTCAATAAAAGATATATGTATTGCTCTATTTTATTAGCTTAAAATATATTGTCAAAAGTTGTATGATATATTGATATGATTTAGCAATGTCAGTTTGTCAACCAACTTGGTAGTGAAATAACTACAACCTTTCTTTTGAAGTTCTATGATTGAATCTGTGAGTTAATATGTGCACAAGTTTCACCGGTGCAGGGATATTGTAGGACCGATATGATCTTGTAATCCATTTTTGTTAATTAGAACTAATTTAATCATGTGTGACCCAAATATTATATTTGGGAAAATCTATTGATGTTCAAAGATTTTGGAATTCGGAAATAGATGCTAGAGGACGTGATTTAGAGCTTATTCCATTTGGTGTTGGCCGAAGGATTTGTCTTGCAAGTGATTCCGGTAATGCTGAGGTCATTGCTGAACTCATTTCAATGGAAGATTGATGGTGACATAGAACCAAAGGATTTGGACATGGAGGAGAAGTTTGGCACTACATCTGGTAAATTAAAGCTCATCCTCTTAGAACCATCCCTATTCCGTTATAAAATATATAGTACAACAATTTTATTTTTGATCCATATATAGTACGTAGTTTCTAATAAATATGTTACAACAATCTCATAGTATCACTTAATTTATTTGTTGGGCAACGGTTTGGAGGACCGAGCCTAGCATCCTGTCATCGAAACGTGGTGCCAATTGCTACGCAAGTATAAGAAAATATAAATTGAATTGCGTATTTTGTTACTAGTTATAACTTTTGGATCGGAATAGTGAAAAAACACTTGCACAGTTGGCTAGTACAGAAAACACTTTTAACATCGATTATTTGGACCCTACAACGTCAGTTAAAAAACATATATGTATTTCTTTTTTTTTTTTGAAAATTTTCTACGGTGCGTCATTAGAAAAATGCTGAAATAATGTCTGGTGGGTGAGTATCCCAGTACATAGTATCAGGTTGCTGATAAGCCGTAGTGGCTAAAGCATGAGCTAAATAATTGTCCGATCTAGAAATATAATTAAAAGAACATGAGTAAAAATAAACGGCAATTTGCCTGCAGCTATCAATGGCATAGCCAACGTAAGAGCGAAACGCAGTGGTTGATGATGTAAGGTAGCGTTGTAATGTCAAACAATCCGTGTAGATCTCAATATTCTGTTCACCTCGATCCTTTAGCCATGATAAAACTTCCTTACACGCCAAAGCCTCAGCCATAAGTGGTGACGTACAGGCCGGTAGCGGCGCGGTTAGTGCCGAGATATAGGCTCCATCTCCATCTAATAAAACGGCCCCTACAGTTGCATTCCCTGTCTCGTGTAGATATCCCGCATCGACCCTGCATCTTCTCACTGGCGGCACAGAGGATCCGGCGGCGTCGGCAGCACCGCGGCCGGCGGTGGGACTCGCCTGGGCAGCGTGGCGGTTTTCTGTCGGCAGCGTAGCAGTGGCAGTGGCAGCCACGGCTGGGCGGGACTGAGTCCATGCGGTCTTGGCTGCCGCTGCGGCTCTGAGTAGGGACCCCGGGCGTGGTAAAAACGCCTCCCAAACTGCACCATTTCGAGCTTTCCAAATATTGTATAGAATTGATGCTGCATATAACATTCCATCAGAATCTAAAATATTTAGAAGTTCCCCAAACCAAACATGAAAAATATCCGTGACAATATTGGGGATTGTAAGGTTGGATTGATCCCAAATGTTTCTTGCAAAATCACACAAGACTAATGCATGCATTGTATTCTCATGTGATATCCCACACATAGCACAATATGGGTTCACCTCCACCCTCTTTAAAAGCAAGTTCGTAGTTGTAGGCAAAATATCACAAATAGCTCTCCAGAGGAACATTTTCCACTTTGGTGGAATTTTTAGTCTCCATAAAGCTAACCAATTAGTAAAGGGGCCTTGATTATTCTCATAATCTCCCACCAATCGTCTGTACCCGCTTTTCACATAATATAATCCTCTCGGGTCCCCGTACCAATACCATGCATCATTATAATCCCGGGATACAGGTACTCTCATAATTCTCTCGACATCCGTAGGTTGAAATAAATCTGATAAAATTTCATTATCCCATGTACCAGTTTGTTGATCTATTAGCCCCACTACTCTGGCCTCTCGTAACTGTATAGGCATCTCTGTTTGTATCATAGGGTCATGGTCATCCAGTAACCATGGATGGGTCCATATAGATGTAGTTTCCCCATTCCCAATTCTTCGTCTGACCCCACTACAAATTATGCTCTTTGATGCCATTATACTCCGCCAACAAAAACTGGGATTATTTCCTACCTGCGCATCAAAGAAAGTATCCCTGGGAAAATATCGGCTTTTGTAAACACGAGCTACTAAGGAATCAGGCTTAGTGAGCATTCGCCATGCCTGTTTCCCCAACATAGCTAGATTAAATGCACGTAGGTCCTTAAAACCCAATCCACCATACTTCTTAGGAACACATAGCTTGTCCCAAGCCTTCCAGTGAACTCGGTTGTCCGACCCAGAACCCCACCAATATCTATTCATCGTTCTTTCTATAGCCGTGCATACTGATATAGGTAGCAAAAAAACACTCATTGAGAAGGTAGGCATAGATTGTGCCACACTTTTCAACAGTATTTCTTTCCCTGCCTGAGACAATAGCCTTTTATTCCACGACCCAATTCTTTGGCGTATTTTATCCTCAATATATGCAAAAGCTGCCTTTTTATTCCTACCCACAAACGAAGGTAGACCCAAATACTTGCCAAAGTTTGGTGCCTGCTCCACCCCCAAAACTTGGGCCACACTTTCCCTATCCACATTACTCGTATTCCTGCTATAACAAATACTCGACTTGTGGTAGTTAACCACCTGTCCCGATAGATCCTCATATACAGTCAGGCATTTCTTTATCTCATTAGCCTCTTCCACATTAGCCTTAAAGAATAAAAGGCTATCGTCCGCAAAAAACAAATGAGAAATCTGAGGGGCACCTCTTGCTACCCTACATCCATGAATTAATCCCGCTCTGTTAGCCTGTTGTAGTAACAACGAGAGTCCCTCTGCACAGATAATAAACAAATATGGGGATAGCGGGTCTCCCTGTCTCAAACCACGCGTGGGTATTATTGGGTCACTCCTTGAGCCATTTATCAGAATACTATAGGAGACTGTGGTCACACATTTCATAATCAAATCAACCCATCTATCATGGAAACCCAATGCCATCATCATATTACGGAGAAAAGGCCACTCCATTCGATCATACGCCTTAGCCATATCCAGCTTAAGTGCACCCCAGCCCCTCAATCCACACTGTTTTCGATTCAGAAAGTGCCCCACTTCTGCAGCTAATAGAATATTATCTGTTATCAATCTATCTGGGATAAAAGCACTCTGTGTCTCAGATATTATTCCTTCCATCAAAGGCTTCATTCTATTAGCCATCATTTTAGCTATTATTCTGTAAATGACATTGCTAAGTGCTATAGGGCGCAAATCAGTTACTAACTCTGGATTACTCTTTTTAGGGATCAACACAATATCTGTCTCATTCAAGCCAGACGGGAGGTCACCTGATTCAAGACAGTTTAGCACAAAACTCGCAACATCCCCTCCTACCACATCCCAGAAATGCTGATAAAAACCCGGATTCATTCCATCCGGTCCCGGTGCTTTATCCGGATACATTGCAAACAATGCATCCTTTACTTCCTCCAGATTAAATGGCCGTAATAGTGAGTCATTCTGCGCCTGTGATACCCTGGGTTCTATCCCCCCAAAAAAATCATCTCCAGTTCCCGGACCCCCAGAGCTGAAAATATTCTTAAAATAGTCCAGAATGATATCTCTCATGGGATCCCCCTCCAACCAATCCCCATTGTCATTCATTAATCTAAGTAAAGTATTCTTTTTCTTTCGGTGAGAGGCATACCTGTGAAAGAATTTGGTATTGGCGTCAGCTTCCTTGAGCCAGTGCTGCTTGGCTCTCTGCCTCCAGTATGCATCCTCCTGGGCCTCAGTGCGACTCAGAAGTTGCTCTATTCGCTGAAACTCGACAAGAGAGGCCGAGTCAGTGCATCCTCTCAAACGTTGTTGATCCCGTTTCAGCTGCACAATCTGTTTCCCATACTTATGGAACCGATCCCCACCCCATCGTGTTAACCGGTTTCCACAGTATTGAACACAACCCTGTAAACCCTGCCCTCTCCCTTCCTGCCACGCCTGCTCCACCACACCCCTACATCCCTCATCATATAACCATGCCATCTCAAACCTAAAACCCCTTCTTCTAACCCCATCCCTCCCTACCTCCTCCTGAACTGTGAAAAAAATGGCTGAATGATCTGACTTCTTGGTTCTCAAATTCATAACCTTTACATGGGGAATTATATTGCGCCACTCGTTCGTTACTAAGACCTTATCAAGTCTCTCCTCAATCCAGTTTGCAGTCCCTTTCCCCTTCTCCCAGGTATATGGGTATCCAATCATTGGCAACTGGGCCAATCCACAATCCTCAATCGTCTCCCCAAAACCTCGAAGAAGGCTATTCGGATGTGGATTTCCCCCTCTCTTCTCATACTGGTATAGCAAATCATTAAAATCCCCCACCACCACCCACGGGAGATTCGATTTTGCCGCCAACATTCTCAACAAATCCCATGATTCAGCACGCCTATTACGGTCCGAATAACCATAGTAACACGTCATTCTCCAGGCCGGATTACCTGTCATAGTTACCTCAATATCAACGTAGTTTCTTGAGTAACTAAGGAGTCTCGCCGTATTATTCTTCTTCCACAATAACGCTAATCCACCACTCAAACCATCATTGTCAACATAAAATAAGCCTTCGAAACCGATCGTAACACGAAGATGCTCAGCATGATCTCGCGCTACCTTAGTTTCTATTAGAAATACAAAGTCGGGTTGCTTTTTGGACACCATGTCCACCACCTCTCGAACTGTCCGTGGATTACCCAAGCCACGGCAGTTCCAACTCAGCGTACTCATTAGCGTCGCCAAACAGTGATGATCACCGGAAAAAACGTAGGAAACCGTCGGAAACCTAGCAAACCCTAGGGGAGGAGAAAACTCTAGCAAACCCTAGAGAGAAATTGTAAATAAACATATATGTATTTCAATTGTATAGTAATTGTTATAATGTCGTTGTT